CTGGGTTACCAACCAATCATCATCGTCCATAAAATACAGCAGTTATTGCATACTTCGTATGCAATAACTATATAATACAATTTTTCAAATACTACTAAACTATTACAACTTTTTTATATATTTACGAAAACAATAAAATTATTACATTTTTAGTAAATTTATTTTTGAAATTTTATATTATTTATTTTTTTAATTTATAATTTATATTTTTACTTTTTTTCGATATTTTGTTATATGTAATCTCTTATTAATTTATGCAAATTTACGCAAGTTTACATATGATTTTGATTTTGTTGTTCATAAATATTCATAGTTTTACGTGTGTTTTCACTATTTATATTTAGCTATATTTAAATTTACTATGCATAAATGTTTGTAATTATTATACCTATATAATATTTTAAAGTTACTATGTATAAACTTTTATAATTATTATACCTATGTAATACTCCAAACTAATCATAAATTTTTGTAAGTTTACATTTATGTAAAAACTTGTGGAGGTTTATGCCTATTTATTTTTGCTGATATGTGTAAATTCTAGGAAACTGGAATAATTAAAAACCTGTTTGGAAAGACCTGAGTAGAGAGGTAACAGAAACCTTTAACAATACTGCAGAATAGAACTTGGACCTCTTAGAGGTGAGAGGTTGACCAGAATAATCGCTAAAGTCACACTAGAAAAAAAAGATAAGTGTTATGAAATCATATACTAGAAGCTCGGAGTCTAAGAGCACTTAAAGCTGAGATAAACTAAACTTGTTCCGGGTCTACTAACTGGGAAAATATTAAACTAAGAAAAAGGACCCAAAAGAGAAGTGAAGTGAGCATTGGAGTGGAAGTAAACCCTATAAGGGCAGAGAATATGTAGAGGTACTAACTTAGGTTTAAAGATATAATATCTCTAATACCTAATCTGAAGTATGTAGGGTATAGAAGAGTTGAGTGGGCATATGCAGTCTATACCCATCTTAGGTAAGACAGAAGTTTATCAAAATAGATAAAGTAGATAGCAGTATTAGATATAAAAGTACTAAAGTAATATAATATATTGAGTATGGACTGATTAGATTAAATTTAATACTGTAAATGCAATCTGTATGAAGGTTTTTGTGATCTTTGATATTTAAAATATTAATAAACTTTAGTCTCCAAATACTTAACAAAAAAAATAAAATAAAATAACTATTAATAACTAATAAAAATTTTTTATTTAAATTTTTAAACTTATAAAAGTTTTTTATTAAATTTAATTAAATAATTGTTCAAATATTTTGGTTAAAATAAATTACCTTTTTTTATATAAATTAACTAATTAGAATTGTAAAATTTTGGTTATATACTGTAAATTAAATTAAAAAAGTTAAAAAATAAAAAATAGCAGTTTAAACCTGTTTTGAAAACATTAACAAAAATATTAAAAAGTAATTTTATCTATAATTTTACTTTCTTTTTAATTCTAATTTTAATTAAAACTTGAAAAATCATATGAGTACATACATGGCTTTAACTATTCCCCAAATTTAAGCGCAAACAAAAATTCCAAACTACGTTTCTGATATAATCTTTATAATATTTATGCAGATGCATCAAAAAGGCAACTTTTTGGAAGAGAAATGTATAAAAACGAAATTCTTGTATTCCTCCGCTACGCTTCTAATCAATTAATAAATTGTCAAATCTCAAATACTGTATTTATTTGTTTATACTATATACTTTTTAACTTTTTTATGCCACTTTTATTATATAGTATTTTATATTATTTTATATAAATAATATATATACCTTTAATTATTAATATACAGTTAGTGAATTCTAATTTTTAAAACAAATAAGGTTATTATTATGCATATTGATCTTGGTGATCTTGACACAAACAATTTTTAGCGGTCTTAGCAGTTCCTATTGGTCATCTACGATTATGTAGATGCATCTGAACCAATAAAATCCGAGGCACAAGTAGCAAATGCTAATGCTTACTAATCAAATTACAATATGAAATATTGTAGTTCGATAAGCAGTCCTGAGTCACATGAAAATACACATTTTGTGGATATTGTTTTCATACATCATTAAACCGGGCATTTATTAAAATTAGAATGGTAAAAGATTAATTCAATTCTCTAGCCTAATGTGCTTGCTAATATCTTATTAATAAAAAAAAAGAATGAAAAAAAGTTAGCCTGATTAAAGAATACGTGCAATACGTAGTTATTTTTTTATATCAATTAACTTTTAAAGCAATGATTTATACGTATCTGCGGTATGAATTTATAAATAAAAATACAATATCAATAGTTTTTTGTAATGAATATTTTTCTTATAACTAATTGAATTTTATTGAAAACAAAGGCCTGTTATTAATTTTGGACTATATATTTAGATATATATCTGATATGTATCTATATACAGATTTAATACGTAATTGCTATTTATAAGTTATTTTAATAGGATATTACGGATCAGATATATGTTTGATGTAAATATGTATATGTACTGTACAGACGTATGTCTATTGTCAGGATACGCTAGTCTAAATAAAAATGGATAATATTACACAAAGGACTAGCCAATCAAGCAAATACTTAACCATAGTGAATTACGTACACGATTGGTCGATCTGGGGTAATCAGTCTATACCTTTAAAAAAAAGTAACTTGTTAATTTAAAGAAAATCTCTAAGTTAGTTCTGGTGTGTAATATATTTTTTCTTTGAAAGGCCAAGTTACTTTTGAATATTAACTCCAAAAAATTCGAATAGTATACATTAGAATGTGTGTGGCGTTATCGTCATATATATTTTGGAATTAGAACCAAATTTCAAATGAATTAATGAATTTAAGCAATATAATTATTGAGGGCTCGGAGTGTACAACCTTATATATAAGTAAGACAATGGATCAACTACGTAGACTAACGCTTTTAAACGACCCCTTGCACTCATTTTCCTCCTAATTATTAGGTGCATCAAGCATTGATTCATTTTATTAATTGAAGCATTATAACGTATAACTGTATAGGCTAACTTTCTTCGGATTGGTCAATCACCTACAGTTGTATTTATACAGCTTAAAGTATTTTTTAAAAATGTAACATTTCACAAATGAAAAAAAAAAAAATTAAGACCGTTTCGATCTTTGAAGGGGCATTATCACTTACTATGGAAAACCTTAGCGTTCGAAAGTGAAATTTCTACATGTACTGAATTGTCATTAGCCGCCATAACCCATAATTATATATATTAAATATATATATATATATAATTACTATATACTGAAAACTATTTAACTTGTTTAACGACACAAGTACAGGTTTCAGAATTTGAAAATTTAACGATATCGATAATTTTATTGGTTGATTGTCACAGGTTAGCTTATAAAGCATAACCTGTTATTAATACCGATATTCAACAAACTTTGCCCAAATATGAAACACGGACTTATTTGTTATATATTAGTGTTATTTAACATTTATTTATTTATACGGGTTAATTTGTTGTTCATCAGATAAAAATTATAAAATTTATAGATTCGTCCCACGTTAGCATTATATCAATTCGTATTACAGTATTATTAGATATTATTAGAATTGTTGACATTTCTTTGAATTCCTAGGATTATTTCCAGATACGGTATAGTTAGTGCATATGCCGGGGACAGCAAATGCCGAACATTATTTCATTACACAAAGGCTTCATCGAGTAAGTTCATGCTCAATTAAGGACAACTTCAGCTCTCTTAATTTATCGTTTTACCATCATTAAAAATAAAACGTCTTGACTGTTTTCTTTTTCCTATTAAATATCCTTCTTAAAAGATCGTGTATGCATTGCTTTGAATTTCAATGATTCAAGGCATCATGTTTATGTAGTTTTTGTATACGTGTTCTTGAACGAGCTTTACAAGTCTTTACGAAAACCTTTGAAAGGTCTTTTTTTTTTTTTTTTTTTATCCTAACGTATACAACTTTATCTGCTTAAAACCTTAATACAAATATTTAGAAAGGTTGTCTCAATTCACTTATTCCTCTCTCCTCTCTCCACTCTTTTTTTTTTATAAAATTTTCGGTTGAGTACAATAGGCTCTACTATAGTGTGTTTAGATCTTAATAACTGAATTACTCCTGAGCAACAAAAGTCGCGTTCTATTAATTTTACTATCTAAATAACAATAAGTTAGGCTCTTTATTTAACAATCGGAATCATAATAATGTATTCAAAGACTTTGGCAATACTGCTACGATCACCGACTTCAATACACTTTATTTTAATAACATTTATACTTTTGTTATCATTCTTTTTCCAAATTGTCTCTGGTGACGACCAGAATCATACACAAGATGATTCTGTTCCAACATTGACTGTACCTGTGATGCAGTGGGGATTTTTGGCAATGGGTGGGGAGACCCCTCAGGGGTTAAAGGATTTTGGTTTTGGTTACAATAAGCAAGCTAATAAATTGATTGTCTTTGGTGGAACGTATGCATTTTTTTTTATTTTTTATTTTTTTTTTATAAATTTTAGACTTAAAAAAAATATATTATATATATTAATTATCCTTTTTACAGTACACAAGATAACACAAAATCTGGAGCCACTTATATAGCTGATCTTAATGCCATGACTTGGCAATCATTGCAAACTGCACAACAACCAGGTGCTAGATCAGATATGGTTTATGGAATGGATATTTATGCTGGTTATCGGAACACTTTTGTTATAACTGGCGGTATAGGTGATGGTGACATAATATATAATGATACTTGGGCATTTGACATAACTTATAATACTTGGTCTCAAATAACAAATGTAACATCAACGAGTGGTCCGATACCTAAAATGTATGGTGCTGTTGGAGGAATTGATACATCCACACAAGGTGGAAGTCAAACTATTCCAAATAATACTATGTGGTTGACTCATGGAACTAATGGAAGTGATTTTTTTACTGACCTTTGGGCTGTGGTGTTTGGTGGAACTTTGGCTACTTCTGGTAATGCCTTGTTTGTTACTTGGACAAAAGTTTCTACTAGTGGTTCGCTTCCTAAAGGTACGTAAATGTGTAATATTGTATATACAGTCAACTCTCTCTATTAGTGAACTGGCAATTCTTTCAGTAAACATTTCTCAAAAAATTCGTTATATAATAGTTAATATACATATATATATATATCTTTAATAAATTTGAAGAGAGAGAGAGAGAGAAAGAAAGAAAGAAAAAAAGTTCGTAATACATTGTGTTCACTATAAAAAATATAAAAAGGTTTGTTATATATTAATATCCAGAGTTGACTGTATATATATGTATATTCCTTGTTTTACATGTTTATCTTTCTGGTTATTTAAATTTAGATCTATCTTTTAGGGAGGAAAGCTGCTGGTGGAACTATTCTTCCGGGTGGTAGGTTGGTAATGTATGGTGGCTGTAATGTGTCAGCCTCATCAGATTGTGCAACATCTGATGTTTGGAGTTTGAATATTGGAAGTAACTCTAATAGTGGCATACCAAACTCAAATACCCCAATTTGGAGTGAGGATGGTGAATGTTTAGGTGCAAGAGAAGGTGCGGCAATGGTCAATAACGCAATTACAGGTACTGTTTCTTATCGAGTACAAGCAATTTCATATGGTGGGAAATTACCTGGGAGACTTACTGTAGATAAAGATGGTGAAGTTGGTGTTTTAGATGCTAATGGGGTAATTAATTAAATATTATATATAAAATTATATATATATATATATATATATATTAAATTATTGAATTTAATTAATATTAATTTACTTAATATATAGGGCGTTTGGGTGAGAGTTCTTCCCCTAGCTGATCCAAAGTATTCTTATCCAAAAGTACGTTCTGGTGCTAGAATGATAGCTATTGACAGCACTCCATTAGCAAATTCGACTAATTCTAGTCCTAGCATTATTATGTTTGGTGGAGAAGGTTTAAATGGTGCCACATCATTTTATAATGATATGTGGGTTCTTACTCTTACTGGCGCTGTTTCGAAGGGTAATCAAACGAGCCAAACTTCTTCTATGCAATTCTTACAATGTATTCCACCCAGTGGTATTGGTACTCCATCACCATCAAATCAAACTCCTTCTTCTAATAACAGTGCTGGTCCTTTAGGTTTTGGTCCACAATTTGCTGATTCTACCATTAATGTTAATCATGTAGTATTTTCAACTTTGAGTTTTGTCTTTTTACCGGTTGCGACTTCAATAATGAGATTCGGTAAAGGACTTATTGCTACCGGAATCTATGCTACTTTATTATTATTGTCTTATGGTTTTCTTATTTATGGTTTTTTAATTGCAATACAATATGTAAACTCTACACCAGTTTCTTCCAACAACAATATTGCTTCACATTTCTCAAATTCTCATGGATTACTTGGTTTGGTACTGACCGTTCTTTTATATGTTGTGGTACCAATGTTAACAATAGTTTCCTGTGTAACTGCTAAGAAATTTGGGTCATATACATCTGCGGCAGCATCTGATGATTCCGATTCTGATGAAGGTGGTCGTAGTTTTGGAAGCAAGATAGCTGCATTTTTAAATTTAAAAAATTCTGATACTAATGGTAAACAATCAAAATCATTCGAAGTTTCACGACCTGGAAATCGCAACTTTCAGAATGACAATGCACGTTACCAACAGCCAACGTCTGTACTCAATAAACCATCCTCAGATTCATGGATTGACAAACGAAAAAGTGTAACTATTGCAGATAATCCAATGATTTTGAACAATAATTCACGCAATAGTACACCAAATGGTATCCCAAATTCGAGAAGAACTTCACAAAGTACTACTGCTACAGGTTCTTATCATCAACGATTAGGGTCAAATGGAACTCCAATTATGACGCCAACATCACAGCATTTTTATCCACGGCAACGACCGAATTCTCTTGTATTGTTAACCAGACATTTGTACCATATAGTTTATCAAATTATATTATTTTTATTTGTAATCTTTTTAGCAATTTCATTGTATACAGCAAAATCTGTAGGAAAAATATTTTTTTATTTGTTTTTAATTTTTGTGATTGTTATATATTTGTGTTGGATTTTATTGGCTTGGGCGGGATATCCAAGAAGTAAAAATAGTTTATTAGTAGCAATAATGGCAAAATTTGGTGGTCGTGGTGAAGTGGGTGAATTCAATGATGCAAATGGTTTAGGTAATGATGAGAATAGCCAGGCCAGTGGAAGTGAATTTGGTGGTACAGATAGTAGATTTAATAGTGTAAGTAATAGAGCAAATATACGTGATGATGATGATAAGATGAATGAAGAAGATAAACAAGCCGAACTTGAACAAGAGATCATTAACAGAGAAGTTGTTGTTATGACTATACCTAAAAGAAGGTTAACAGTTGTTAATGCATGATATTTTACGTATAATGTTAATTTTTATTTATCATTAGATTTTACTACCAAAAAAATTGTTTTTCTTTGTTGGAGGTTTCCGCTTAATAATTTTAATATAGTAATAGGTTTTTTGAATCTTATTTCCGAAAGGAGGAAAAAAAAAATATATATTAACAAAATTGTAACAAAATTTGTACTTTATCTGAAAACATCATTTTTAAAAAGAAATAGTTTCATATTTTTCATTTTTCATATTTTTTGAAAATGTATAATATTTTCAACAATTGCAGAAAATTATTAATAAATTAACAATTACAGAATTAAAAATTAAATATTTATATATCAGTTATAATCACATAAATATCAAATATTTATAATCACATGATTTTATGATTAATTAACTTTATCACGTGTCAAAGAACAATTCAAATTCTATCACACACTCTTTCTCCGTTTTATAAAAAGGTTGCGCGTCTCGTGTTGGTGTCTTGAATTATTTTAACTAGGTAATTTATAGAAAATTATTATTTAGGACATCAATATTTTCAAGTAAGATATTAAGAATGGTTAAAGTAAAGACTCCAGGACGTGATGCGTATCGGTGAGCATTCGCCTTACATTCATTACACATAAGTTCCCCGTTCAGTATGATTGTAAAATGATCTTGAATACATTATTTCTTTACTCAGACATACCCCTATAACAAAGTTTTTTCCTCGAGTTTCCAACTTAAATAAAAGGTAGCATTCGACGAACAATAGTCAGTAACAAAATATTGGTTTACTTATGAATTTCTTCTTTTTTTTTTTTCCTTATTGTTTAGTAACGCGACTGAAAACTTAAATTTACCGAGAGATGAAAGTTTCGATACTGTTACTACGGGTTTAGACGATTCGGATGACGATAAATTACAAAACATTCCTTCTGTAAGTGTGTAATGTAAGCTCCTGTATTTTTTTAATTACGATCTATAATAAACTCTATTCATCGAAAAGATTATTGAAGACGACGAAGATGATGATCTTTTATCATCAACCGATCTTGAATTGGCATTTTCAGAGAAATTATCAGGCAGGCTATTTGAGAGAAGTGAAAGGTTCATCATGATTATTATTTTTATATGAATGTATATACGTTACTATAGATCCATATTACTAAATTTTCTTTATTTTAGTTCTCAGAGTGACGAACCTACTTTACGACGAAGTACGCGTTCTAGAAAACAAGTTTCTTTTCAGCAGATGGTGCCAACTACCGAAGCTGTTCCACTTCGCGGTGAAATTCCATGTGTGAGCAGCTCTACTTCCACTGGGATAAATTCAAATATTTCCGAAATGAAATATCAATATTCATTATCTTCCCTTCTTCGAGAGAAGAAGCATCGAGATAAGGCTGGTTATGATATTCGTGCCATGGAATCGGTACTTAATGGAGAAGTTCGTATTTTCTCAATATTAATTTTGTTTGTTATATTTTTTATATTAATCTAATATTAAATAATTATTATTTTAGTCTCTTTGTGAATTGGAGGATCCATTTGACGTCTATGATCGTACAGAAGTTTCTGCTGCAATATTGAGTGAAGATATAAAACGGGAACACCTACAACAGGTTCGATTATCTAATTATTACAGTGTTGTCACTGGAAGACCACTGGAAGGTCACTGGAAAAAAATTAATAGTGTCACTGGAACTTAAAGTTCCAGTGACACTATTGACTTAACTTCCAGTGGTCTTCCAGTGACAACACTAATCTAATTTATTGATTATTAGAACTTTCATAATAAAAGATTTAATCGATTCTCTTAATCTAGATTTTTAAAGAAGATGAAAATGATGATTTAGACCAACAACTGGAATTCTTTACTGATAATAATACAGTAAAGTTAATTATAATTCTGCATTAATAATCAAATATTTTAAACATTATTATTCATGTGATGTCACGTGTTTAACAGAGTTTACCGAATCCGGCTTTGGGGGCTTCCATGCAAGCGTTGGAAGATCAAGCATTTGCACTAATAGCTGGGTCATCATCTGGTATTTAGATAAAAATAACTATCTTGCCATTATAAAATAGCGTAATTATGACATCCGTAGTTCAACTTATTGTTTAGACGATGAAAAGCTAAAATATATCCTATGTCAAGATTGGATTCCACAACAGTATGAACTTGGATTGAATTTGCCATCTGAAACTATTTCATGGCTATTAGAATTAAGTAAATATCACATTCGAATTTTTTTTTAAATTAATATGTTAAAATATCTCGATTAAAAAAAGGGTACAATTTTTAATTTAGTAAGCTATGAAAAGGATACAATTATAATAGAAGCAGCTTCTCATACTTTGAAACGTCTCGCTGAAATTAGTGTATTTATCAAAATTTCTTTTTTTGTATTCTAACAAAATTTGATTATAAATCTATATCTTACGCCAGAAATATATATGTAATCTTCAAGGGCCGGTACAGCATCAATACGACTGTTGAACCTACTAGTGTGCCGTTCTCATATATATATGAAATATTATCCAAGTTTGGCGCGTCATCACAGATGTTAGGTTACCAAAGTGCGTTGGAGGAACAAATAAAGTCATCTTTGCCATTTGGTATGATATAAACATTTTAAGCTTATTTTTACTAATGTAGCTGCAGCTTAAATACTGCATATTTCTAATACATTCAACTCTGGATATAACGAACTTAAAGTTTTAAAACATCATAATGACTCGGCCGATTTCTTAAGAAAACAATAATTTATTATAACGAAATTTTTTTTTTCAGAACCATCAGTTCGTTATAGAAAGAGCTAGCTGTATTCTTAAATATTGTATGCTTCTAATATTTCTTAAATACTATATATTTCTGATATTCTAGAACCTTCATCCAAATTCCCCCATATTTACAATTTACAAGTTCTTTTGAAAACAATTGTACCATTGGTTGAAAACAGGTTAGTGAGAGGCATGCTTTGGAAAAGATTGGATTAATTTACAGATTAATAAATTAAACATATTTACTATATTTTGAAATTCTAATATAGAATTTTAAAATTCTCTGATTATGAAGAAATAAGACGAGCGATATATGTTATCCTTCGCATGTCTTTAGATAGACGTATATCTTTTATATCTAGCTACATTGAAAGGGCAGTCGATTCATTTTTAAATCTTTTCCAGGAAGATGATTGGAGTTCTCAAGTATGAACCATAAGTATAAACAAATTTATTTAGTTAATAGTCTATTCAATAGATAACACAAATTGTTGTAATTAGGCCAAACTTATTTGTGAAGAAATTGTTTCAGCATGTGGCGGAATAACAAAATTTAATGCTGTTACAATAGAAAATTTACCTATTTCAATTCGTGGTCGTTTATTACGAAGACTTTTGGCATTTAAATCTCTCTTCGCTATAAGTTTAAAGACTTGGGATTTAGCTGCGGTTAGACTTTTATTATGTACATGATTTATTATATTGCACCCTTTAAATTTGTAACTAAATTGATTTTTAACTAATATAGGCTGATATCACAAAACCGTTGTCATTAGAACCGCTTCTATCTTCCTTTGATGATAACGAGTCAATGTTTAAAATTAATATTAATACGAACTATAATGAGTTGTATTATAACGTATTATTACTTAATTTCGCTATTGATGACGAGGAACAGATGATATCTGAAAAGGTAAGAATTTACAATTTTTATTAACAAATGCTAAAAATCATTTTTATTTGATATTTATTATTTGTTATTGTTATTGAAGAATGTTGTTGAGGAGATCATACAAAAATTAAAATACTTGCATGGAAAAATAGGTAAGAGAATCAGAAAATATATTCAGGCCTTTATGTAATCACCAAGTGATCATGTGGATCATGTGAAAGTCAAATTTATAATAGCTTAAACTAAATAGTGTGACTATATAGATTATGATTGTAATAAGGCCTGACTTTTAATATTTTTTCGTGATTTAATTGTTTTCCGTTCATTTATTAGTTGATATGAGAGCTGCTTTCATGGATCGAACAAAGGTAAGAAAGTATCACCTGGTTTTTATTTTTTTTTTAATATACATTAAACTCGTCTAATTGTTTATTCTAGGCGAAAGACCTTATACATAGACTTTATATGCGTCTTTATTATGTGACTAGTAATCGTCGTGGTAAGACGCAAGCAAGCATACTCGAATATTCGTCCAAAAAAATACAGAAAGGAACTCTCGACATGTTTATCAATCAAAAATGTTAATATAGCTTAGAACTATTAATGCTTTTGGTGAACAGATATTTACATTATTTTTCAATCATTTTAATCATCTTTTTCTTGTGCAATATTCACATTAATAAAGTATCAAAGACTTTAAACACTATTATGGAATCGCCTGGCTTCCTTTAGTTTTTTCCTTTTATAAAGAAAAAAGTTGTTCTAAAAATCTTTCACCAATAAAAGTCATAATCACTCCGGTGGTTTCATAAATCCGATAGTCCGATTGTTCTCAATGTTAGGTGCAACTATCTCTTGAGCAGGTTTTCTAGACCTTAAATTATATCTTGTTTTAGGCACTTCATCATCGTTGCACTCATCTATATGCTCACTTTGAACATTAACCAATCTTTTTTTTCGGGCTTGTAGAATAGGATCACGTTTGCGCTTACTCTTCGAAGGAACAGCAGATTTTTGACCAACTAATATGACATCGTCATCGCCGTCATCTAATGTAATAATCTCAGGTTCCTATTTACGCGAAAAGAATTCATGTTTATTCTCGAATAAAATTAGGCATTCAATAATTTCAGGCCCACCTCTTTTTTGGCAGGTTTTCCAAATGACATTCTTCCTGATATTGGTTTATTTATACAAGAGAAATAGCTTGGGCAATATTTGACATTGAGTTTGCTTTAATGCAAAATTGATAAATATCTTAAATCATTTTGAAAATAATTAAAGAATGACTTTTAAAATAGAATTTAAACATACGGCTTTCCAATTTCTACATCTTCATAATTTAGCCACCATTGGGATTCACCATTAATTGCGAGATGTCTAGCGTTTTCGTCGTTTATGCGAAGTTTTTGATGAGTACGTTGCATAAACTAATATTAATCATATTCGCCTTAGTATTCTGTTCAACAAAAGTCAAAGAAACGAGATATAAGTGTCAACCTTTAATTCCAATAAGTGTTCGGACAGTTTAGGCTTTCTTGCTTGACGTTCGGTCTCCATCGTGACTTTAAAAAAATTGTTTTATTTGAAAATATATGAATTTATATTAAATTAGTAGCACGCGCAACCCCACCCCTGTAATTTGATTCAAAGATCAGGTGTAACGTAAAAATCAGAAACGAAGCCTGTAATTAGGAAACCACACCTCCTGCGACCTAATTAACAATGTTCCTTGTGAAATTTTACTAACAGATACTATATTTCTCAAACGAGGTTTTATCAACGCAACTTTTTTTACTTTTAAAACAAACACGTTGGTTTAACTATCATATTACATCTAATCATAATTTTGATTGGTCAAAATTACAGGGGAGTAACAGCTGCACAATAAATGGAGATTACTATATTCGGATTACGAGTAGTAACACGTTACACGCAGGACTCTTGCATAATGTACCATATCGATATAAAACAGATCTATTCATCATAGTTCATCATATAAACTTTCAAGATTATTTTAGTCTAAACGCGTAATTTTGGCAAAATTTTTTTTTTAATCATAATGGATACCCAGCATTTATACAAGAGCACCAACGTTTCGTTTGAAAGCTTCACCTTACAAGGAGAGACTATTAATCACGAAATACAAACTGAGGAGCCACCATGCAATGATCAAGAATTAGATGACGAAGAAATTGCAACACAAGGATCTATTTATCATTCAGAAGCTGATCCAACAGTCTATATAGCGTGGAGAGTTACAGAATCTGGTCACGTGTTGGAGTTAAGGCGATTTTTAATACATTCTCAGGATACCAATGGAGATGCCGTTGATCAGCCTGGTGAAACAACCCGAGCTGTTCGTTTCAAGTTTTCATCAAACATATTACCATATGTCACATTTTTCACCGATCCTATAACGCGTAATTTACGCTGTGTAGTCTTATTAGCATGTAGGGTCTTGTATCGTTTTGATTTACCGCAAAGAACACTTTTTTCCACTAGAGAACTACCAGCAACTTATTATAGTCGTTTTGAAGTAACATTATTACAAGAATTGACACCTACTTTGGTACATGCTGTTGACTACGAAAATATTGTAATCGGTTGCACCGACGGAACTATTGTATACTTACAACATCAACCATTGCCTCATACTTTTGGAGTTCCAGAAAATATTAACGATGGTAGGTCTTTATTTTAGCAAAACCTTAATTGGTGATATTTTATGCCAAATTGTGGATCAGCAGGTTTAAAACATGATTCTTTCTATTCCTAACCTTGACTGGTTCTCTGCCTTAAATTTCGGACAGTGTCATTAACCGGATCAATTATTTGTGCTCATGTATATTTGTCCACTATTTTTACACGAAATGTTTAATAGCCAATTATATATTTCTTACTAATAATGTTTACATGCATTTCAAGATAATTTTACGCAAGTTGTTCTTGGGAAAAATCTATTTGGAAAAATGATGAAATTAGTATTTCCTCGGCAAGACATCCCAACAATTGACACCGAAGAAGATGGTTCTCAAGAACAACCGATTGCATTCGCTTCATACGTACACGGATATTCTCACAGATACCTTATTTGTTTATGCCGGAATCGACGAGTTGTCATATGGTCACTGAAGACACGCAGATATTTGGAGTCCAATCCACTTTCTTTTATTCAAGATGATGATACAGATACGGATTTGAATGATTCTGAAGATTGGCCATTAGATTATAATGAACCATTAAATCCATTACCACCAATTCCAAAAAAATATATTCAAGCATTAGTATCAAGTAATATTCATAGTCCAATGACTTTCCATTTTGTCGTTTTTATTCCTACTTCTAGTGATGGTTACTTCAGGCTTTATCGAGTTCGAGTCGATGCATCAGGTGGTTTAAGAGAGATGTCTATGATTGGTCAAACATTTAATAATCCAAGCGAACAACTCCAAAATCGGGATTTCCCTTTTCGAAATTTGGTAGACATGGGATTAACACATGCGCCTTTAATAGAAGAAAGTGAGCCCGATATTGAAAATGGGCCAACTTGGAGGCAAGAATGGAGACTGTGGGCATTGTGGAAACGAAATCGTCAGGCAGCATTGACCTATACGAATTTCAATATAACTTATTATGGTTCTATCGATAGTTATGAGGATGCTATCACGGCGATAGAAATGTTTAATTTTGGAAAACGATGGGAATTTGTCATCAAATCTCCGATCAAAACACATGATCACGGATATTTAGCTAATATGCTTAAAGATGGTGATGAACTATTAGATCATGTACAAGTTTGTACCGACTACTTATTTTGCCCTGGACGATTTTCAACATCTATTATTAAATATGCACTTGAAAAATATATTAAAAACATTGTAAAAGATGAAACTGAAGATTTTAAATTTTTAAATATTGATGGTGATCTTAAACAAAAAGTCAAACAAGTGGTGGCAAAACACATTCGTTTACGTAACGATCGCGAGAACGATATTCCACTCGAAAATGAACACAAAGCAAGTGTTATCAGTGAATGGTTACGTTTTGTATTGTTATGTATTGAAATACAAGAACGTGCTAGTTTTCCGATGAGTCTTTCTCTTGTTCAAAATGGATCTTTTGTGGGCATTACTCATCAAGATAGCATATCTCTGCTTCGTGTTTGCGATATATTAGAATTCCTACAATATTATACTGGGGAAGAAGCACACGAATTAAGTTTAAATATGTCATATAATCAATTATTTCCGTCATACTCTATTATAAGTGAATTCGAAAAAATTGATATGATAAATGTGTTTGCCGCATCGAATCTGGTTATATCTCCTATGACAGAAATTGAATTATTAAATTTTGATCGTAAAATCACTCGAACATTGTCTAAACCGATGATGGTTTCAGTGGCGCAAAGTGTTTCAGACTTATATGATAATCATTTACGCCACCGTTTGACACCAGATTTAAAGGCGAAAATATGGTCCAGATTGGACTTATGTTCACAATTAGATAGAACACTTCAAACCATTATTGGAGCTTTGAATGATGTCAAATATATAATTCGTGAGAGAGATGAAAAGATTGACACAGTTAAAACTACCATTTTCATGGACGCTTTAATCGCATCAGCTGCAACTGATGTTATTCAATCTCATTACATTATAGCGCGTAATATATTTCTTTTATTGGTTGTAATACTCAATATTAAACCAAACTCTGGTCATGATCAGAGAGTGTCTATGGGGATGTCTACTCTATATGTACATATGATTCTAAAATGGATATCAGAACAATCCGCATATTCAGATGCAACAACAGAGGCTACATCTGAGGATGGCATGTCGAAGAGATTTTCACATTTGAACATGGTCAGTACCGCAAGGGGCGTATCGGAATCTCCAGATTTGCGTTATAGCTTGCTTTATAGTCTTATTGTCCAGCAGTATCCTCTTAACTTGAGATTCCGATCGCAATCAATACCTATTATAATCACGCGTGGAGTACAAGAATTATTAGATGAGATTGGATTTTTACCAGAAACACCTCATCTCATGGTTATGGCACCTGAAACATACGCTAAATTTGGTCATCTTTTGGAAACATCCGGTTACATAGGTCATCTTCATCAATACGTTCGTTTATTGCTTGATACACCAGCAAATTTGTATCTTCATGGAAAACAACTTTTAAAAGAGCGTAAATATGATGAAGCTGAGTACAAATTTAAAAGAGCAGGATCTGGATTTGGTAAATCTGATTATTTCTTCTAATCGTTGTCATTAAACGAATATCGTTAACCTTTTTCAATATTTTCAAAACCGTTATAGCACATGATATGACGCTTCCTTCTTATACTGCGGGGCCAATTATTCCATCACAAGATTATATACCTGGAAATTTGACTGCATATTATCGACATGTCGCGGTTTTATATGAAAATTGTGAACAGCCGCTACATGTTATCAACTTTTGTAAGTTGGCATTGGAAGCATTTAGTAACGAACAGGTATATCGCGTATTTTCCATATGATTTTTTAAATACTTTGTCAATTTACCAAATCATTTTTTTTTTTTTAATTATCCAGCGCCAAACTCCTGAGGGACGTACCCTAGTATCTCAGCTTTACACAAAAATTTTCACTAATGCTCTTAAAAGAGACATGTTCGATCTAGCATATAATGCAATAGTATCTAATCCAAATCCAACATCGTAAGAATGTTATTTTTCTTGCATACTTCAAAATTTCTAAACCTTTAATGCTTCATATTCTTAATACTTTATAGTCAGCAAGCAAATCTGCGTCCATTCGTACGTGATATGTGCGAGAAAAAGCAAGTCAGCAAGCTTTTAGAATTTCCATTTATAAATTTTCGACGTGATTTTGAAACTATATTGGAATTCCATGCACGTACCCATGATATAAAAGAAACTCCAAATTATTCAAAAATATGTTATACTTATTATTTATCTCGGCGACAGAATAGAGATGGTAATTGTAATTATTTGTAGCTCCACTTGAAATCGCAACAGTTATTCATATTTATATTCTTTTTTAAATTAATAAAAAATAGCTGCTCGAATTATGTACCAATATGCTAATAAAGTCGAAAATATGGGGTCGATATTTGACAATTTTCAGAAAGGCATGACTGAGCTGGCTTCGAGCTATCTTTCAGCTATTAACGCGTTGGAAGTATTAGATAAATCGCTTGCTTGGTTTCATTATAATTCATTACCTCCCAGTGATAATGTTCGAGTGAGTTTTTATTCTCTAATTAAGGATATTAATACTGAAATTGATTTGAACTTTGTTAAGAATTGAATCATTTGCAGGCACGAAAAAGGCAGAAAGTCGATAACGAACTTATGAATGGTAAACGTTTTGTTTCACGTTCTAAATAAGATTCAAATTGTAAAATTGATGTCTATCCCTTTAAATAGGTGATGGCGAACCAATAACTGAAGTGATTACAATAACGGATCTAACAAAACGCTATACGATGGTGATGGCCAGACTTGAACTAGGACGCGAATTTTCTGATCAAGGTAGATTATTCAATATACTTTTTTTTTTTGTAATCAACGCTTATTTAACCATATGCTAAAAATGTATTATTCATCAGTGACCCCTATGAAATCTCAAGAAGCAGTTAAACTATGTAGTTTTGCAGGCAAATTCGATCTAGCCATTTCAATTGCTAAGCTATTCGAAATTCCTTTAGATGATGTATTTGACGGAATGACACGAAAGTGTTTGTCGCTGATTAATTCTAATATGACCGTTTCAAAGTACGTCTCTTCTTATTTTTAAATATCAAAATAGATAGGGTATCTCATTCATTATATCATTTTTAATACTTGAATAGTATGCATAAATTTTCATGGGTAAAAGGAAACGGCTCTACTCAATTTATACATGGAACAGATAAAGATAAAGCTTGGGCTATGTTGAGAAAATATTTGGACAAGTATGATAAAAAGGAAGAAACGCTCTCACGATATAGAGCTGTTGTGTTGAGAACGATGCTTACTGTCGATTCATATGTCTCTATTCCTGAGTGGTTAACATCTTTCTACAAGGTATGATCTTGTTTTCCTTAATTATATTATATTGGATTTCGTTTGCTAATGCACTTTCCCATTATGCAGACGCATAATCAAGTGGATCATATCAGAATATTACTGGATTTTGGGCGCTTATCAGAAGCAACAATAGCTACATTAGATTTAATTAAGCTGGTAAGTGTACTGGTTCAATAAGTGTAGAATTTTCTGTTACGTTTACTGATTTTTTTTTTATTTCCTCGACTTTTAGGAAACTGATAAGCATCAACCTGGAAAAATAGCATCTCACTGTCTTCCATGGAATCTTATAGATAGTCTGATGGCATTATTTCAGGATACCTTGGCGAAAACTTTCGATCCCGAACGAAAAAAAATAATAGAAAAGTTAAAAAGTGATTTGAGCGAAGCTGTTAAAAGTTATTGTTCAGAAATTTGTTCAGGCTAGTGATTGGACCCGTCTGAAAATCATGACCCGGGTAACCCGGCGGGTAAACCCGCGGGTCACCCGAGTGGATAAATGATAAAATAAAAACCAATTCTTATAAAATTCTATCTTCTATAATTATAATATGAAATTTATAAAATATTTGATGAATTGCACAAGAACTATACTAGAACTGATTCATAACATGCCAGTATAATATAATACATTTCCAACTCTTTAAACAACTCAAGCGCCTAGTTACATTACCTAATTTTTCATATCAGATATTTTTCTCTTTCTGCATATACTGTAACAAAATTATCATCTCATGAATATCTTATATGAAAGAATTTTACTATTTAAAAAAATTGATAAGTTGATGCTCGATTAGCAGAAGGGAACATCCAAATGTATTTCCTTAGTAAATCACCAAAAATGAGAGATAAAACAAAAAGCTGCTCGATACGTATCGAAACATCGAATCCTCACGAGACCAATATGTGATATCTCCGAATATGTTCGGTCTAATGATCGATCAAGTGATCGATTAGTGATGTTGAAGTAATTACGTGAGATGAAATAGTGTGTAAATATATTAGTAATTGATGTGGTATGTGGGAGAAATAGCTTTGTTTCTTCTGCGAACCTGGCATTCGTTCTCTACGACCTAATTAAAATTGCTCTTCCTAACTCTAACCTTAACCCACAACGTTGAATTCTCAGTAAAAATTGCAGGGGGAAACAATTTTTGTGGGCGCACTATCTAAAAAGTTAAGCAACATTGATCTCAATGTTAACCTAATGTTGATCTAAAAGGACCAAAAGAATGGAGGAAGTATATATATATTACTAAAAGAATGACAAAGAAATCACTAAAAGAATGACAAAAGAGCCACAAAGAAGTAATGAAAGAATACCAGAAAAGCACTGAAAAAATGACAAAAAATTCTAAAAAAGTGACAAAAGAAAATATTGATCTAAAAAAAAGAATACAAAAAAGTATTAAAAAGAATGAACCATTGAAAGAATGATCAAGAAATCACAAAAAATGATGAAGAATAACAGAAAAATTCTAAAAAAATGATAAAAAAGTCACAAATAAGTAACAAATAAGCATCAAAAAACTACCAAAAAACAACCAAAAAAAGAAATATCAAAAAATGATGCAAAAAAATTGATCACTAGAGTTTTACAGATAAATCTATTATTTTTTACCTAGTTAATATAACTGCAACTCAATATCTAACCTACTTGCAAATAACCTAGGTAATACCCAGTGTTGTATATAGGATGTGTCTATACTATATCCAACATTCAATGTTCAAGATTGTCCAAAATCATCTAAGTCTATGTCCCAAGTTTAAATAATCAATAAAGTAATTTTAAAAAATATATAATTATATGATATATTCTTTTAAATGCTAGACTTATTTATGAAAAAATTAAAATAGATTATCTTAATAAAATTTTGAGTAATTTTAATTTGAAAAATTGTTCAAAATTGTCTTATATACAATATTAGTAATGCCTATTTGGGTCCAACTACTAATTGAAAAGTTTATTAAAAAAATTTTATCTAGTCTGATTAAAATTTGCAAAAAACAGTTTAAAAAATAAGTTTACAAATAAAAAATTAAAATTTTAAAAAAAAATGGGGTATTATAATAAATTGAATTTTGTAACGAATTGGAATATCTTATAATCTTGTGATCAGAATCAAAAAAGATTTGAACTATTTAATTCATCTCATAAAGAAGAATCAAATAGTATAAATTTCAATTAGTTTAAACTATTACTTTATAAGATATTTAAGTTAATTTATTTTGTATGTTTATTAATATAGTTACTTTTGTGACTTAGTAATCAAAATTGTTTAATTCTTTTACCAATTAGTTTTTTTGATGAGAGGAATTGATTAGTACAAAAATCACCCAATTTAGACTACTAAATTTGTATTTATGCTATTTATATATATAATAAAATATATAATACTATAATAAAAAAGTATGTTAGGAATGTTGATATGTTGTAATCCTGAAATCAGAATTCAATAATTTTTATACAGAGAGATAGATCTCTTTAAATACACCCCCTTGGGACTATAGTAAAAAATTTCAAAAATATACATTTAGAGAGAGTGTGCATTTATAGAGAGCAAATATATAGTGCTATTATAAGCTGAAACCAGACTATACAGTATATTTAAAAAGATTTTATATAGAGAATATATTTATAGAGAGTGCATTTAGAGAGGTTTCTCTATACTATTAAATTTCTCTTATTGAAAGAAATCAAATAATATAAAAATCATTAAATTTTGATCTTGGAGTTACAAGATATTAATAATTTATCACAATATCTTTTAATACAAAAAATTACAATATTTTTTATAAAACTTTAAACTTAAGAAGTATCTTTTTTTTTATTATTAGATTCAGAACTCTTTCCAACGATCATCTGGACTACCACTTCTCAAAAATTTTTTACAAGAAAAAACACTGGACGTCGGGGCACTTCAATGAAATATTGAGGTTTAAAACATAAGACATGGGAAAAAGGCTTGCAAGACAGCTCTTGTCGTTTAGAGGTAGTTCTCATACGCTACCTGCCGACTTGTTTCAGAGTTTATCATCCTGCAACACGGCACTTGTCGTTTAGAGGTAGTTCTCATACACTACCTGCCGACAAGCTCAGAGTTTATCACTTACCGAAAAAAGTGAGTACTATACAAGTTATAGGCAGAGAGTTTAATCGAAGTAAAGAAAACTCACGCTCCTTTGGTGCTCTCCTATTGGTTTTTTTTACCTTTCTCTCGTTTTTTGTCATTCTTATCATAATTTTCGAAAAAAGTGGGCATTTTGGCTTACTCCCTCCAAAAGATCGGCATTGTTTACTCTTACCAAATCAGGATGAACTCAGTAGAAAGCAATCACGTGTTTTGTTGATTTACAAATGTAGCGCTATAGTACAGGGATGGATATAGTACTCTCGTTTAGGAAATACCCGAGTTAAGTCAGGAGTGCATCTATGTGCTCCCCACCCGATTTGGATTCTGTGATGATTATATCCAAATTTGGTATGTACGTTGTACTTCTACTTCAACGTACTCACTTGACCAA